TTTGTCTCATAATTTTCAAGTCAAGAAATTTTGACGAGAAATTTGTGTGTACAGCTACCTATAAGGAGTGGCATCTTGCATTACATCCTCATCACTAACCTATGTGAGCTTGTGATTATAGTCAATTAAGGTAAAGAAAGGTTGGGATCTAAGCAGACCATATTCCTCTAATATGTACAGAGAATATTTTCTTTTATAGATAGTTATTCCTCTTTCGGTCCTAGCAACTTCAAGGCCAAGAAAATATTTGAGAACTCCAAGATCATTGAGCTTGACTTTAGAGCTTAAATAAAACTTTACTTCATTTGTTGCTGTCACAAATGAGCTTCCAATCACTATGTCATTAACATAAATAAGCAAATCAATGAAATCACAATCATCTGTCACTTTTGTAAACAATGAATAGTTAGACTTTTTGATTGAATAAATCCAAAGATTAATAAAGAATTTGTAAATTTGCTGATAACTCTATGGTAAGTCCATGAAGATACTTTCCTTCAAACCACCATATAGAAAGGTATTATTTATGTCAAGTTGAGAGAGAAAATAACCTTTTATTACTGCAATAGCTAGGAATATCCTTATGTGGTTTGTTTGACTGCTGGGCTAAAAGTTTCTTGATAATCAAATTCTTCTTTTTACTTGTATCCTTTAGCTACTAGTCATGCCTTGTACCTCTTAATGGATCCACCGGTATGCATCCTAACCTTATATATCCATTTACAGCCTATGGAATGAGATCTTGGAGGTAAAAAGACTACAGTCCATGGCCCATTTTCTTCGAGTGTAGTTAATTCAAAACTCATAACAACTCTCCAATGACTATGTTTGACAGCTTGAGAGTATGTTTGTGGTTCATGAATATGTGAAAGTGTTGAAATGAATGCACGGTGGGAATCTGATAATTATGATGCAGAAAGAAATGAACTAATTGGATGAGAAGTGACATGATTATAATGAGAGGAATACTTGTAATCATATATGTCCAAATATTTGGGTGCTTGTTTCAATATTGCACTTCTCCTAAAAGGTACTATGGGTGATGACTTATGAATCAAGACTTGACGTTTAGAATTTTGAGCAAGAATAGAAATGGAGTCCTGCTCTGGTTTTTGGGGGATCATATTGGAATCACAAGGAGAATTTGATAAGTTTGAACTTGGTTCATGGCAAAATGACAAATGTTTGAATAGGTCAAGTTGTTGCTCAAAAACATCATTATTATGGGTAGCTGTATAGGTTTCGTGTAGTGAGTATAGGTTTCGTGTTGGAGAGAATGCCTTTAAGATGTCATTTTATTGTGGTCCTTAAATCGGAAGACATTTCAAGAAAAACCATATCTCTGGATATAATCATAGTTTGTGCATCTAAATCAAACAACTTGTACCATTTAATTGCTACAGGATATCCTATGAAAATAAATTTCTTCACTCTATGATCAAATTTTTTTCTATTTTGATTGATTATGGAAGTAAAACAAAGACATCCAAATACCCTGAGATGTGAATATGATGGTGTTTTGTGACATAAACCTTTAAATGGTAGAAGTGAGGCTCGGGTTCTGTTAATGATATATGCTGCTGTGAACACAGCAACACCTCAAAAACCAATTAGTAAAGTTGACTGGAACATTAAAGCCTTAGCAACAATAAGGAGATTTTGGTGTTTTCTTTCATACAATACCATTTTGCTATGGTGGCTTTACACAAGACAATTGATGTACTATTACCTTTTGATAAATAAAAAATTAGTTAAATTGAATTCCTTTCCATTTTCAAATCATATTTGCTTAATTGAATGATTGAATTAATTCAAAATCAAATTATAAAAAGATGGCAAAATAGTGGACACATCAGATATTGCTCTCATAAAAAAAAGTCCATGTAAATATACTATAATTATCTATAATTGTAAGAAAACAAATGTGTCCATTCATAATGGATGTTGTGTATGGCCCCCACTTATCAACATGTATAAGCTTAAAAACTGATTGATTGTTAGTTACATGAACTGGAAATGGTAATCATTTTTGCTTTGCAAGAGAACAAACTTAACATGGTAATTCAGTTTTACAAGAAACACTGGGACAACATTGCTAAATTACCTTAAGTCTACCAATGGGAATATGGCCTAACTTATAACGCCATAAATCAAAATCCTTTGAAACAAAATTGCAAGTATTTACAAAGGTATTTGGAGGAAACTGAATAAACTCCTCAAAACTAAATTGTTTTAAAAATTGTGCATCTCTGTCGCCTTACATGTAGTATAACCCTCTAAGACTATAGTAACCCAAATCATTATCCATGATTTTAAATCCTAATGACACAATATTCATCAATGAACAAAAGATTGTATTGCTTAAACTTAGTAACTTGTCTAATAGACATCAAATTAAAGTGACATGAAGGAACATAAAAGACCTTTGTAAGAATCAAGGAAGGACACAATTTAACAGTATCAGTATGAGTTATCACTGTTCTAACATTGTTTAGCAGTTGCACAGTCATGTTATGGATCGATTTTAAAAAAATTAAAATATTGAATTGACCAAGTAATGTGATCTGATGCACCTATGTCTACTATCCAGGATTTGTTGAGTAGTTGGAAAGAGAAGGATAAAAAAATTATACTTGTTATAGCACAATTGAAACAAACTTATTTGGTTTGTGATGTGTTTGATGATTTGCTAGAAGCGTTACCATCCAAAACACTCTCATTGACAAATGCCATCAATTTCTTGATTTGATTCTTTATGAGTGAAAGTTAAGACAAGTTATCAATAGTCTCATCCTTTTCAGAATCCATCTAACTGGCAATAGATACATTGTTGGCAAATAAATTATGGCCTGAATATGTTGCTCTTTTTTTGAAATTGGGTTTTCTTTTGGTAAATTTGAAATTCTCAAGAAACCCAATCGACTAGTAGCATTTGCACTTGATGTCCCCATTTTGCCAAAAAGGTTACAAACCAAATCACTTTTTGTTTCTCTTTTCCCTCATTCATTGTCATCATGGCATATGACTCAATAACGAATTGGGTTTTTATGAACAAGCTTCTTTGTGTTCCTCTCTTAATACCACACTATAAGCTCGATCCAAGGTAGGGAATGGAACCATTATAACTATTTGTGAACTTAGTGCAGCATACGAATCATTGAGTCCATTCAAAAACCTAAACATAGTGTTTTTCCTATATAGCTGTGTGAATCTTTGAAAGCAATTTTTGTTATAGGAACCACACTCACAATAGGCCAATAGGTGATAATTTTACAATTCTTTGCCAATACTATTCAACTTAGTAAAATAGGCATAAAAAAACACATACCTTGAGTGATGTCACTGAAAGTGAAGTGGAGGTTGCATGTGTGAGTCGTTTACTTAGGCACATTGATTTTTAAGGGTCTCCCATATCTAAGATGCAAAGTTCAT